AATCAATTTTATCAACAAAAAAAACAATGAAATAATTATAATCACATATAATTTGTATACAAATATAATAGCAAACAAATTGTAAGCAATTTATTATTATCAATAATTTTATTTATTATTTTTATTTATTATATAAAATGTAAAAAATTTTATCGCAAATAAATAATAATAATATTGAAATATATTTGTTTTTAATATATAGAAAATAATTTGATTAAAATTGAAAATTGTTACAAAAATTTATTTTATTTTTTGTTTTGTTTTTATTTTGTTTTTATTTTTTGTTTTTTTCCTTCAATTTTATTGTACTTTTTTCTCGGATGTCTTACACAATAAAATTTAAGTACAGTATATATAAACTCTAGATTTTTTTATATACAGTTTATATATATATATATATATATATATATATATACAGTATATTTGTTACTAAATATTGTACATTAGATTACATGTTACATGAAATTATATGTTGAAAAAAATAATATAAAATTTAATATGAATTGAAATCTAACTATACATATATTGTATGGAAAAAATATATATATAATATATACAATATATATATATATATATAATCATAAAAACAAAATATTTAAAATATAAAAACACAACAAAAACAAAACAAAAAAACTTTAAATATCTTAAGATATATATATTTATATAAAATTTTGTTGTTTTTAGTAAATATATAGTAAGAGACTGTATATATAATTATATATATATATATATATATATATATATTTTGATAAGATATAATGTGTTAAAATATTTATTTTATTTTTTTTTTGTAAATTACTTTTATTATATACTCAAAACATATGTCAAAGTTTTTTTTTGTGTGTGAATATAGTCTGTAATTGTATAGAAAAATATTATTTTCATATTTATATAATACTATTGTATATTTTGATGTATATAATGACAAACAAACAACAAAAAAACAAAATATAAAACATACTAACAAAACAAAAAATTGCAAAACATTTTGATTGCATTTTTTACGTCAAATAAAATAAAAACATTTAATACATATATCAGTAAAGATTTGAAAATTTTTTTTTGATTTTTTATATTCAATATATATATATACCATATATATATATTATATACCAATATTATATATATATACTTAAATTTATATTTATGATGTTTTATGATACAATTAAAAAAATAAATATAATAAATAAAAAACTGTTAATAAAAAAATATAACATCAAATATCATATATCAATGAGTAAAATGGCTTTTTATCATTTATCATTATCAATCGATGCATTACTATAAAATTATATATATTATAGATAGTATCAAGATGATATACTGTACATAGTTATATGAAAAAAATAATAAAAAATAATAAATAAATAAAACACAAATAACATTGGATTTATTATACATTTATTGTATTGGAAAAAATAAATAGATAATTGTATGTGATAAAATATCTATTTATCTGTGTATGTATGTGTGTGTGTGTGTGAGTGTGTGTGTATGTGTGTGTATGTGTGTGTGTGTGTGTRTGTGTGTGTGTACGTGTGTGTACGTGTGTGTATGTGTGTGTATGTGTGTGTATGTGTGTGTATGTGTATGTATGTGTGTGTAAGTGTGTGTATGTATGTGTGTGTAAGTGTGTGTATGTATGTGTATGTGTGTGTATGTGTGTGTATGTGTGTGTATGTGTGTGTGTATGTGTGTGTATGTGTGTGTATGTGTGTGTATGTGTTATACATAATATACATAGCATAATAAATTATAACAAAAAATAAAATTATTTTATATACGTTATACATTATATATATATTGATCATTAATAAATAACATTTAGACATTACGATAACTACCCGGATATATTATTATAATATATATATATTGGAAATATTATATTTGTAAATTTCCAGTTAAATGTAATATATATTGTAATTAATACTTTTAAAAACACATCCGATTCTTATCTTTTTTTTATTATATATTTACTAAATTTCCTCGAATTTAAGTCAAATTGTTTACTAATTATATATATATATATAATTAATGTTTAACTAAATAATAATAATAATAATATAATTTTAATTATAATTTATTATTTTTTATCTAATAAAATATTTATATTTTATTTTTTTTTTTAAAAATCAAAATACTTATGTAAATGTTTCGTTTTATTATGTTATGTAAATCTAGTAATTTGAATTGTTAAAATTAAATATTTATATATATATATACAGGTACAAATAAAATAAAAGATAAGTAGCATTTAAACAATGTCTATATAAGATAAGCATCATTATTTACAATTAGTTTATAAGTGTCTATGACATGTCTAGGATATGACATGTATGTGTGTGTGTATGTGTATGTATATATGTATGTGTGTGTGTATATATATGTGTGTGTCTATGTATCTTTGTGTATATGTATGTGTGTGTATATGTATGTGTATGTATATATGTGTGTATGTATGTATGTTTGTATGTGTATGTATTTGTGTGTGTGTGTGTGTGTGTGTATGTATTTGTGTGTATGTGTGTGTAAGTGTGTGTATGTGTGTGTATATGTATGTGTATGTATATATGTGTATGTATGTTTGTATGTGTATGTATTTGTATGTGTGTGTAAGTGTGTGCAAGTGTGTGTAAGTGTGTGTATGTGTGTGTATATGTATGTGTGTTTATGTGTGTGTGTGTGTGTGAGTGCAATACAACTTAAATTTGATCATCAACAATAACTATACTACACTAATAGCATAGAAATTGATTTCATTAGAAACAATTATAATATAATGTTTGCTACTTAAATATAATACAAGTATATACATATATACATACACACACATTGTACAGCATATTGTTTAAGTAGTTTAATTTCCTATTTGTATATACAGGTACAATATATATATATATATACATTATATATATATATATAAATTGCCTGGATACTTATGTATTGGGTTTTTATACTATATTGATATTATTATTATATTATATCATTTATATTTGTATGCATGTTTGACCTTTATCATATTAATAATAATATTTCTATTAATATTTTTTATTTGTTGTTAATATTAATAATAAATATTTTTTATATTATTATTGTATTTTTTATGTAATAATGAATCAATGATAAGATAGTGTATGAATTAAATATGATTTTTTTTGTGAATTTATTAATTTTTTGTTGTTGTTGTTGTTGTTATTATTGATTATTAATATGTAATTGTATTGCAATTAAATATATATATTTTTAAAAAAACATAGAAATATGTTTTATTAAATAAAATATATTATCTAAAAATTTTCAACACAATACTAAAACAAAACTATTAAAAACTAATAGTAATAATAATGTTTATAAAATTGAAACAAAATTAAAAACATATTTACTTAAACTTATTTTTTTCTCACTTAATATAAAAAAATAAAAAAATAAAATGTTTTTTTATATCATAGATATATATATATATATATTATTTCTAAAACTTATATCCATAAGGCATTTGAATTATATTTATATTTATTTTATATAAACTTTAATAAAAAATAATAATAATAAAGAAAACATATATACTTTATATATTATTAAAAAAAACTTTGCTTTTTATCAAAATTGCAAAAAAACATAAATAAATGTATTTTGATTTATTTTTGATATACTTTATAATATTATATATTTTTTATAAATATATATATATATTATTGTATATGTGTTATGAAAAAAAATTTACTTTATATTTATATATATATATATAATACATTTAAAATTTATACTAATGTGTTTTTTATCTATTTATTTTATATTTTTACACTTTATATAAAAAATGTCTATAATTTTTGTTAATGTAAATTAAAAAACTAACTTTATAATTTACTAAATTAACTAATTTGTATTTAAATTATATTTTAACAAAAAATAAATAAATAGTATAATTAAAATTATTTATTTTAACAAATAAATTTGTGATTTTTTAATATATGAGAATCTTATTTTATAAAAAAAATAACAAAACTTAAATCGGAAATAAAAAAAAACGTTTTCAATATTTTATTTCCAACTATAAGATAATTAATAATTAGTAATATATTATATTTTTAAACAAATGTTTTACAATAAAATACAACAATATATATATTTTTAAAAAAAAATTATTTTAACGGTTTATCTGTAGTCAATAAGTACACAATGATTAATTATCTTAAAACCTAAAAATATTTAACAAAAAAAATTGCATAATAATACTAAACATAATATTTTTATTAAACTTTTATAACATTATAATTACAACTATCGTGTAAATAAAATTATAGTTAATTAATTTAAAATCAAGTTGCACAATCATAGTTTTTTTTTTAAAAATATTAAAATGCTAAAAAATATGTTTAATTTTTTACCAAGGTATATTAATATTAATCTAAATTTATTATGTAATTAAATATAAACTATATATTTAATAATTAATAACTACAGATATTATATTTTAACAAATAAAAAAATAAAAATTAAATTTGAATCGGAAGTCATGTTTTATCAATATATATATATATATATGTTTTTTAATCGTTAACTTTAAAACTTAAAAAATCAATAAGTAATCAATTATTTTATTTTATTGACATACGAAACTTTTATTTTAAATAATTAATTAACTTTTTAAAAAAATTACATAATAATAAACGTAAATTATATTACGTATTGTTTGTATTATAAAACTATTTATGATTTTAGTTTATTAAAAATAATTAATTAATTTTAAAACAAATTGCACAAAAAAGTTATAGCAACAAAAATGAATATGTTTTTTAACATATTAATCTAATATATCCAAGTACAATTTACAATTATATATAAATAGCGATAAATTTTTACAGTATTTTATTATATTTGAAAAAATTAATTTACAATATATTAAATTTTTTTCAATATATAATAATAAAAAAAATGTTTAAATTTTTAATACTATCACTAGTACTGACCTATGCATCCGCTGGTCTTATTCAAAGTTAGTACAGTATTATTAATAATAATAATTAAAATTAATTAAATATTATTATTATTATTATAAAAATTTAGTTATAATTATTATAAAAATTTAGTTATAATTATTATAAAAATTTAGTTATAATTATTATAAAAATTTAGTTATAATTATTATAATAATTTTGTTATAATTATTATAATAATTTTGTTATATTTATTATAATAATTTAGTTATAATTATTAGAATAATTTTGTTATAATTATTATAATAATTTTGTTATAATTATTATAATAATTTTGTTATAATTATTATAATAATTTTGTTATAATTATTATAATAATTTTGTTATATTTATTATAATAATTTAGTTATAATTATTAGAATAATTTTGTTATAATTATTATAATAATTTTGTTATAATTATTATAATAATTTTGTTATAATTATTATAATAATTTTGTTATAATTATTAAAATATTAATGTTATATTTATTATAATAAATTATTATATTAATTATAATAATTTTGTTTTATTTAGTATAATAATAATTATTTATATTTATTATTATAATTATTTATATATATACTAATTATTAGTATATTTATATAAATAATTATAATTTTTTTTTTAAAAAAAGTATAGTTTAAAAAATAATCATGCTCATATTTTATTTTATTTAATTGTCTAGACGGAGCTAACTGGGTAAGCGAGTTGGGTAGGGCTGGTCTGGAGGATGTGGTCAACATTGGTAAGGTTGGTGTCGGCCTAGTAGGCAGTGTCGTACCCAATGTTAACTCGGCTATAGATCATGCAGCACATGGTAATCTCGGTGGTGTATTGGGCGATAGTGTCGGTGCTGTGGGTACCGGTGCTGACGGCTTGTTCAAAGCTGCCCAGGACGGTTTCAAGGATCATCTACATCACGATAGCAAATTGTTGCATGATGCTCTGAATATTATTTACTAAAATAAATAGTAATCACTAATTATAATAATATTAAAATTTAATTTAAAAAAAAAACATTTTTTTTATATAAATTTGAATTAAAAAAATTTTTTTTAAATACTAATAATATTTTCATTTAAATTGTGTTTTTTTTTTGTTTTTTAATTATAATTATTATTAATAATGTTTTTTTTAAGCCTAGAGTAAATAGAAATTAAATAATAATATTATTTTTTAAAGATATTGTTTGCATGTTTTATTTGATTACAAATGAAATTAATGTTTTAAAATATTAATATTTAAGCAAAATTATAGATAGTTTTTAATATATTTTATTTATAAAAAAAATTTAATATATACTATTATATTATTTATTTTAACTAAATTTAATTATAACTATTGTAAAACAATTCAATATATATATACATCATTTGTAAATTTATTTAAAAATTTATAGTTTTAATTTATTAAAATTTTTAACTATTATTTATTAGCAAATAATAATATTATATTTTTTTATATGTACACTAAAGTACCAGTGACATCTAGTTTTATGTTAACTAAATAAATTATTTATATAAATAACAATTTAGCAATTGAACAGGTTTATTTAATTGAAAATTTTATTTTATAATTAGTTTAAAATTATATAGTAATTAGATTTTTTAAGTCTCCTATTTTTCTATAATAATGATCTAGCAACTATTATATATATATATATATAAGATAAAATATAAATTCAATACTAAATCAAAATTCTATATATATATATATATCAGGGTTAAGTAAGGGGGGGGGGGGGGGGGTAGGGGGGGGTAAGGCCAAAATACCCCCCCCCTAAGCTCGAGAAATTGGGATTTTACCCCCCCCAGACTTTTTGACCAAATTGGAAAAATTGTCGCTTAAAAACGACGAGAAATGACCCCCCCTAAAATTTCGGCGCCGAAGGCGCCGAAAATTTTTTTGAGATTTATAAAAATTTTAATTTTAGTTGATACTATTTTATTTAGTGTTTTTATGTTTTTAATATTTATAAGAATCTAATTATTGATTAAAAATAGTTAAAATAACGTTAAAACTCATCCAAAAATAACATTATTTTAATTAAAATAATCTAAAAAATTAAAAATTACCTATTTGTTGAAAAGAGTAATTATATTACAATTTAAATATAAGTTTAAGATAGTTTAAGAAGTTAATAAAACAATAAATACTTATATTATAAGTTTTTTATTAATAATTTTTAAATTTAAATTTAAAAATATTTTCAATTTTATACTTAATATAACTAAAACTTTAACGAAAATTGAGTTAAATAAGTAGTATTCAGTCAGTATTTGTATAAAAAAACATTTTAAAAATATATAATAAACTATAAACATTAAGTATTATTTAAAAAATTAATTGTTAAAAGTTAAAAATTATTAAAATACAAAAAATAACTCATTGTGTATCATAAATGCTTTTATCAACTATTTTTAAATCAAAAATACATTATTTTACTTTTTTGTAAAAATTTTATTTTTTATTAATTTTTTAATTTTTTTTTCAAAAAATATTTATTTTTTGTTAAAATTTAAGTTTTTTATTAATTTTTAATTTTTTTAATATTTTTGGAAATTTTACCTATTTTCCTGGGAACTTATACGGGAACTTATGGGAATTTTCCTTAATTTACATGGGAATATTCGGGAATTTAAGGGAATATTAGGGAATTTTCTCTGGACCCCCSCTTGATTTTGGATTTTTGAAAAAATWGCCGTTTAAAAATGCAATAAAAATCTTACCCCACCCAATACCCCCCCCAAGATTTTTCGAGAATTTTGCAAATTTTATATAAAATCCAAAACCTTGCTTAACCCTGATATATATATACTTTACAAATGTTTAATTTGAGTCAAAAAATATAATTATTGTTAAACTAGATTTATATTTTAATAATTATTTTAATTATATAACGTATATATATATATATATACATAAAGTTTATAATTTTAATACTAAAATTAAACTAAAATAAAATTTACAAAAAAAATGAAAAAATTATTAGAAAAAAATATTAGATATGTTTTTTGTCTAAAATAAATTATATATAATATTTCCAATAAAAAAAATCTATAATAAATCTAATATACAGGTAAAAACAATATCCAATAATTAATTAATTAAATATATGTTTTTTGTTTGTTAATTATTATTGTTATTAAATGTTTTTATTTAATAAAAATTCAATTGACGTACATTTAGAAATTGACCTTGGGAATTTACCATATTTATCTATTTGTCTAGATAGCAACAACAAAACTAATAAAAATATATATATAAATCATTGATTTATAATTAAAAGTAATATTTTTTAAGTAAAAAATTGTTATTGAAAAAAATATGGTTAATAAAAATACCTTTATTTTTACTATAATTTATTACTATATATATTAAATAATTTAAAACTAAAAAAAACTTGAATTTTATGTAAAAAAAATATTCCTATAATATTAAGTGTTTTATTTAAATAATGATAAAAATATTCCAACAGTTTTTTAAAAAAATAAGTTAATAATTATAAAATAAAATAATTAAACTATTTTTTTAATTACTAGTTATTGACTACTAGTGACAATTGCTAGTAATAGATATTATTAATTTTTTTAGTATTTTAATAAATATTTATTACTATTATATTAAATAATAAAATTATATTTAAACAAATATTTTAAACTAAAATAATAATAATTATTATTACAATTATATATATATTGCACAATAAAATATGTTATATTTGCTACAAATTATAAATTATTTAATTTTTATTTTTTTGATTTATCATTTATCACTGAACATAATGCAGTGATTACAAAATATATATTATTATTAATTAGTATATATTTTTAATATATATATTTATTAAAAAAATAATAAAAATAAAATAGGTAGCATGCTCAAATTACTTTTATTTTATTTTTAAAATAATTGTGTTATTTTTTTTATTGAAAAATATTTCCATTTAGTATTATAACTATTGATTTTATTTAATTAATTTTTTTTAAAGATAAAATAATTAATTAAATAAAATTAATTATTTTAACTTGGTAATTCTACATTGATATATTTTGTTGTTAATTTTTTTTCTGTATATAAAAACACTGCTGACTAACTATATTTTATTGCTATGAATAAGCATTAAGTTTTATAATTATAAAAAAAATTAACTATTAGTGTAGTAATAGTAGTAATAAAAAAATTATATCAATAATTATAATTATAATAAAAACTGTTATTAATAATAATTAATAATAAACTAACCATGAACAATTGGAGACCAGTTTGCGCCCTATTTGTACTAATGTTGGCCATCCTATCGCTGGACAACAACATCATCAACGGTGTGGCCGCCGATAGTCAGGGCTGTCGGCCGGACAAAGGCGTCGACGATTTGATGCCTACATCACAGTGTCTAACGTTTTGCCGAAAACAAGTAATTATTATTTAATTTTTTTTATTAATAAATAATAATTATGTTCATTAATAAAGAAATAATTATTTTTTTAATAAATAATAATTATTTTATTACTAAATAATAATTATTTTATTACTAAATAATAATTATTTTATTAATAAATAATAATTATTTTATTACTAAATAATAATTATTTTATAGATAAATAATAATTATTTTTTTTAAATTCATATAATTATTTGTCGTAATTTTTTTTTAATTAATTAATTTTAATTTTATTTCAGGGAAAATACTCATTTTGTGTTAAAGGCCAGTGTGTCTGTACTAATAACTACCGGTGCGATATATTACATGAATGTAATTAATTAATTTGATGACAACCTTTTTCAATCAGCAATTAATTTTAATATTATTTTTTGTTACTATTTGTTGTTTGAATAAAATTATAAAATTTTAATTATTATTTTTATGTTTGTAATTAATTATTATTTTTTAAAAAATAAATAATTAAACACTTAGTATGTGTTTTAATATTTTTATACCATTTAATAATAATAAAACTAAAAAAAAAATAGATGTCAGCTATAAGTACAGTATAGTAATGTTATATAAAATATTTATATATTTAATAATTATTTTTCTAAATAAATTAATTGATAATTTTTAAAATATATAATAATAATAATAATACTTGAACTAAATATGTTAAATAATATAGAAATTGTTATTTTAAAACTATTTTTTATGACATAATTAAATTTATTATTAATATTATTAATAGCTTTTTTGTGTTTATAATATTTTTAAAATTATTTTCAATATAATTCAATGTTATGTATCAATAATATTAATAATAATAATAATATAAAAACTTTAATAACATATGATAATAAAATATTCAATTAAATATATATATATATATAAAGTTTACATAAAGTATTTTTTATTTAAATTTATGTCTATGCAAAACATTATTAACAAAGTTATTAATAATTAAATGTTTATCAATATTTAAATATATATATATATATATATATATATAAGTAATACTGTATATATTACAATATACCGGTATATATATATACATATAGTATATATCGTTAATATCATATGATAATAAATATACTATTAATATTGTAATTAAGGAAAATGTTTATTAATTTTTTAGATCATTATTAATAATATTATTGTTTCAATTTATATATTTTTGTTATTTTGGTTAAACTTAGTTACAGATGAAAAATAATAAATTGTATAACAATAACATTACAATTATTGAAATGATAAATTAAATATATGTATTAATATACTGTATATATATATATATTGAAACGGTTGGATGGGTTGCTTAAGGTGTCCGGTGCTGACTCGACGGTATCGGCACCAAAGTGTTGTCGGTCCTAGCGATGAGTCGGCACCAACACCATAGTAGTGAGGACATCTGCGACCACAGTATGGATCTGGCGTTGAGCGGTGACGGCTTTGATGAGCCAAACAATAAGAGCGGTGTTGTGACGGCCAATGAACTGAGCGGTCCTGTATCGGCCAATGTGTTGAACTAACA